TCAGCCCAATTCAGGAAAAAACTTTTTTTATCATCCTACTTGACACTGGAGCAAATCTGACCACTCTGATTCACTGCCTTCCTGCACTTTGGTGGCTGTTGTGGAGAACGTGGAAAGAGAGAGATGTGTACTTTTGAAAATGAGACGTGTCGTACAAACCAGATGGCATAACAGGGGGCGGGGGACTAAAGACCCCAGCTCTGCTGCGTCCTGTGTGACCCCCGGGCCTCCCTGTCTGCTCATCTGGAAGATGACGACAGTCCCTCTTCTGAGAAGGCGGTGAGGCCCAGATGAGACATGGGATGGCAAGCCTTAGCACGAGGGGCTGGCACGGAAGTGTTGTAGGCAAGTTGTATTTCTTTGTTGAGCACCTACAAGCGCTACATGGTGAAGAAACTGCTGGTAAGAGCAGATGGATTTCCCTCCCTCGTGGGGGCAATGTCTAAAGGAGACATATATTAGGTGCAAGAGCGAGCTTGGGCTATAATGCTGGTAACAGAAATCCAAATGGCGGAGTTCAGGAAAGCTTCCCTGGGCCAACAACCCTTGAGCTAAAATCCGAAAGAGGACATGACTAGAGGCAGATTGTTCCCGGTAAAGGAAACAACACATGCAAGGGCCCTGTGGTGGGAAGGAAGCTGGCAAGAAAACTAGTCTGAAAGCAGCAGACTAGTCCGACTGCCGCAGAGGGCAAGATGGGAGGAGCACTGTGCAAGTTGCTTTCACTCTGAGTGGGCCAGGTGTGTGTGGGGGTGTCATACGGGGCCTTAGTTTTCATTCTCCATCCTAAGAGCAGTGGGAAGGCCCTGAGGTCTTGAGGTAGGGTGGAGAGGTGGGAAGGGCCCAGTGGGTTCACAGTGGGGAATCCTGCCGTCCCACCCTGTGGGAGTTGTGTAGGGGGAGGAAGCAGCCGCCGAAGTGGCAGCTGGACAGTTAACTAGACCGAGGCGGCCTCCAGATCTTCAGGAGGTAAAATCCGAGGGACTGATGATGAGGCGTGAGGACGGAGGCACCCAGGATGCCCTGAGTTACTGGCGGCCTGAGCGCGTGACGAGGCTGGCAGCCAGACCAACAGGGTTGAAGAGAGTGTGCAGTGCGGGGAGAGAAGCCAGGCAGGGGAGACAAGTGTCAAAACTGAGAAGCTGGCTGAGCAGGGACGGGAGGGGCCCTAGCTACAGAGGGAGTAGTTGGGTGGGAGCCCTTTGTTCTTTAAAGGGCTAGAGGATCTAGTTTACAGAATTTAAAGACAGGAAAGGAGGATAAGTGACCTTCCGAGGCCCCCTAGGAATCGGGAGACCTTGGGATCCGAGTGCAGGTGAACTTAGCCTTCGGTAGGAGGACAGGTGGCTCTGGACAGCAGCAGCAATGAGGACAGAGCTCGTGTCCAGCAAATTGAGCGCCTCCTGACACATCAGGGATCTGAAGCTATGAGTTCAGTGAACAAATGAACTTGTAGAGTAGGAGCTGAGGGCATGTGCTGGTGGTGAGAAGCCAGCAGGGGGCTCGGACCTGTGGGGAGAGGGGAGGACCCAAAATGGCCCTCGTGGAGGCGGCCAGGCATGTTCATCAGAGGCTTCATCAGCTGGCCACAAGCGCCCGTTCTGGTTTATGATGGAAGCAAGCTGCCCCGTGGGAGGTAAGGCTCACCAGCGGAGGTCGTCAGGTTGCAATGGGAGACGGGTTTCTCCTCCACTTGCCTGCAACAGATAAAGGAATCGCTACAAACCCATCAGCCAGGTCTTCACCGCCCCTGAGCGCAGCCACCTGCAGACCTTTACCCTTACCCTCTTCAGACCCACTCTCTGTTAGGGCACGGAGACTGGTGTGTGTTCACGTCACACGGAGGTGAATTTAAAATCCAGCCGCCGCGTAGCCTTCATACTCACAGGCAAGGAGGACCTGATACAGGCTACACAAACAGGTCAGCCTACCCAGGGCCAAGGACAGAGTTGAAAACCAGGTGTACATGAACTATTTTTGTCTCTCTTGTCCTAGGCCGGGACTTTTCTCATGACGAAACCCTGGACGTCCCAACTCAAGTTGAGCTGCTTATCAAGCAGGCAACATCCCATGAAAACCTGTGCCAGTGCTACATCGGCTGGTGAGTGGGCGTGCCATCGGGGCCCTGTCCTATGCCCCGACCCCCGAACTGCAGAAAAGATTGGGGGGGGGGGTTCCATAAAGGGTAATTGTAGTGTCAGATCTTTTTAAAAGTCCGTATTCGCTGTGTGCACTCTTTGTTCTCGAAAGGGAGCACCTTGAGAAACATGGGTACATATTTGGAAGGCAAACACCCAAATAAATTAAAATTACATAAAAAAATGGTTTAGAAAGGTAGGTGAGTCCCCCTTTTTTTAGGGGTGGGGGGAGAGGTTCTTTTTGGATTTTTGCTGTCAATTCAAAGCTAGAGGGAAGGGCCAAGGAAAAGAAGCCAGAGCAGTGACAGAGAGCAGGAGATACAAAGACTAATTAATGCTCTGGGACTGTAACCTCCAGGACCACTCTGGGGTCTGCTTTGATGAACTGCCGGAGGCATGTCTGAAGATAGAAACTTGAGAGGGAGGGGGATGGGGCATTGTCCTTCTGGGACCACAGCAGCCATCAGCCCTTGACTGGAAATGATGAGTGTGTCTGACACTGTCAGTTGTGGGAGAGCTCAAGGAATGTCTCCGGGGGTTGTCAGACCTTGGTCTCTCCACTTTCAATGTTCTGTGTGAAGCCCTGAAAAAGCCCAACTTATTACAATATTCCTTTTCTGTCTTCTTAGGTGTCCTTTTTGGTAACCCGAGGCCCAGATGTGCCCACAGCGTTTTTCATGAGGCCTTTGTACTTTGGTATCTATGCTTCCACTAAACTGCAACCATGGCCAGAAAGTTCAACTTTGTTCAATTTCAATATCTTGAAATGTAAATGAAAAGAACTACTGTATATTAAACGTTGGTTTGAACCAACTTTCTAGCTGCTGTTGAAGAATATATTGTCAGAAACACAAGGCTTGATTTGGTTCCCGGGACAGTAAACACAGAAATACTACGTGAATCAAGCCATTGATCTGGGGGAACAGAAGATCCATAACTTAGAAATACGGGTTTTGACTTAACTCACAAGAGAACTCATCATAAGTGTTGCTGGTAGAAGAAGGGCCTCGCTGCTCCTCTTGACAAGGATGCGGCAAACCCTGCACCGTCAAGGAACCTCAGGCCACAGAGGACACGACTTAGGAGTCGGGAGGAGCTGACTTGGTCACTTCCACCCATCCCATTACCTCACTGGTCTGCGGACGGCAACAACACTTGTAAGATGGGCCAAAATGGGTGGAAAGCGCCTGTCTTCTGCCTCACTCACGATGCCGCCACTTAACTCACTTCAGTCCAAGACCCGAATGCTAGGAGGGGAGTTTCTTCCGATCGTTGGGTGGCCTTAGCTGAGCAGGTGCACAGAGATCATGGTGCAGTAGGGTGGCCCACGGTGGCCTTCCCCAGCATGTTTTTGGGATGTCTTCGGTGGAGTCTGAATGCTCTGTTGAGAGCAAGGCCTTGGAAACAGAAATGCTATGGTAGAGGTGCTCAGCACAGAGAGGGAAGGTCTGGTACCTGCTGGGAGTTCTGAGCAAAGGAAATATTAAGCTAAATGCACAAAGTATCCAGTGTAGCCACTCTAGACACCATGTTGTATCTGAATAATTTTTGTGCCAATAAATGACATCAGAATTTTAAAAACATGTCTATGAGTGTCTTTTCATAACTATGAGTTTGTAAAGGAAGCGGCTACTCCTTCAGCATTCGGCATGTGTGCGGGCATGTGTGCATGCACTGCACAGGTGATGGGATCATCATGACACGGCCTCCTTCCTTGGGATGTTCACAGCCCAGACAAGGCGGGGTCAGAAGGAGTGGCCTGGTAACTCCCGGCAAGCTAGATGGGGGAGAAGAATCACATCCAGGGTGAGAGCCTCTGCCAGGGGCCACTAATCCACTGGATGAGCCAGGAGAGCCTCATTGAAAGGGGACATCTGCCATAGGCTTTAAAGGAAAGTGGGAGGGGCGCCTGGGTCACTCAGTCGGTTAAGTGTCCAACTTTGGCTCGGGTCATGATCTCACAGTCCATGGGTTCAAGCCCCGCGTCAGCCTGGAGCCTGCTTCAGACTCTGTGTCTCCCTCTCTCTCCCCCTCCCCCGCTCGCTCTCTGTCTCTGTCTTTCAAAATAAAGATATAAAAAAAAATTTTTTTAATAAAAATAAAAAAATAAAGTGGGAGCTTATCAGATGAAGCAAGTGAAGACATTCTGCATAAAAGTGGTCTGAAAGTACAATACCATGCAGGAATGGGGAGAGTGAGCTTGAACCATATTGAGTTGCAAGCCTTAGACGACTTTTGGTATGTAAAAGGGCAATTTCACACAGTCGGACCTTACAGTTCAGCACATCTGGCTGAGTGGTGAGTGGAGAACGAAAGGCGCAACTGAAATAGCAACTGAAAGGCTGGAACGAAATAGCAACTGAAAGGAGGCTAGAAACTAGAGTGTGGAGGCAGACTGTGGCCTGCCTCACAGTTCAACAGCAAGGAGTCTGAACCTGATGCTGTGAACAACAGGCAACCGTGTGAAGTTCTAACACAGAAATAGACTCTGAGTAGTATTTAAAATAGCTTGGCACACATGGCTGGCTCAGGTAGAGCATCCGACTCTTAATCTCAGAGTCGTGAGTTCCAACCCCACGTTGGGCGTGAAGCCTACTTAAAAAATAAAAATTAAATAAAACGTAACCAATGTCAAACAGGTAAAGAGAAAGCTAGAAGCCACAGGACCTATTAAAGAGGCCTTCAATAATGGGAAGAAGAGAACACTAAATGGAACTGTCAAGTACTATATAGAGAATCTTCTAGAGAGAGCATGCCTAAGGAGTTCTTCCAAAGAATAGCATTTTCAGTTCAAGTAAATTTTCTATTTCTAAATTCTTGTGGGTCGCAGCTACCCAGTTTCAAAGACTGAATCATAAGAGCTGTTCAAAGAACTCGTATTAGGGAAAGCATGAGAACTGCAAGGTCAGGAGCCATATCTTACAAGATTTGTATCCCCCCAAATCTGCCAGAGACCTGGGCCATAGTGGTGCTCCATACACATTTGTTGGAGGACTCCTGTATTAAAACCAAAGATGAGATTAAGTATTGATACGATTGTAACCCCCAAAGTCTCATACCTGTTCTAGATTTTTCTATAACTCTACACCATGCATCAACTATTCTGCTCCAGAAAATATGAGCACCGTACTTTCTTGGTTCTGCATGAAGTAACTACCAAGGGCTACAGTGATATAACCGTTTTCGTGAAAGATAAAGGGCATGGGAATGAATGGACTCGGGAAAACGGTGGCTATCAATGGGAAAGACCTACTCTTTGGACATGAGTCATCAGGATTAAGATCTTTAGTGAATCTAATGGGTTTCAAGTTGTATCTAGACAAAAACTTCCAACTCTGTTGAGACGAATGACCAAAGGAAGGCTAGCTGATGGCAGCCTTTAAGGACAGTCTAATGAACCTATCCCTCCAGGATGGTTTCACATAACCCTGTGTGATGGGAGGGATGTGGCAAAGAACTTTCAGGATCTTTGCAAGCACTGGTACCTTTCTATAGTTTAGGCCTTAAAACTCTGGGAGGCACGTAAGGTAGTTTGAGAGAACTGGGGCTGTGCTGTCAAATTACCTACTTTCAAATCTTAACTCCACCTCAAACTACCTTTGTGAAGTTAATCTATCCTTGCTTCCTCCTCTGACCATATGGATGATAGTATGATCTATCCCACAAGGTTGTTTTGAGGATGAGCTAATACACGTAAAGCACGCAGCACAGCCTGAAATGTGGTATGCAGATGAGCCATACATGGGCTAAGCGCTCGAAAATATTTGTTGTTAAAATGAACTAGGCTAGGTCTTCCTTCTGCCAGGTACCTGTGCCCATGGGGAGATGCTAGAGTGAAAACAAGTTTTCTCTCAACAGAATATTCCTGTTAATAGGATAGTCTGAATAATGGGATCAGTTAACATTTCTGGAACACTTACTAAGCCAAATGAGTTGTGTTAAGGGTGTGCCACCCACGATCTTAGGAGAAAGGCTACACCCCACTAACCTTCCCAGCCATCGCCAGGGCTGCGAAAACTGCGTGCCTCAGAACAAAAGCCCTTCCCGGGTTCACTTAACAAACGCGTGAGTTCCCAATATGTGCCTCAGCAAGAGTGTCTCCAGAGGTGTAGATGGGGAGGAACGACCGGAACTGGTCAAGAGAGCTGGAGAGCCCGCGTGGCAGGGAAACGCCTTCTCCAGTGGTTTGCCTAAAAAGGGCAAGAGAAACGTGACCGCGGTTGGAAACAGGTGTGCGGTGATGTTCTGCGTCTCTGTCGTTGGCAGGGATGCCAGCACACGTGTCGCCCGTTAGGGATGCACCGGGAGCGAGGAAGAAGGCAGACGATGCCAGAGAGAGGGCATCATCGCAGGAGACCAGGCCATGCGGGTGAGGCGGGCACGGGACGAGCTTGGGAGGAGCTGGCCTTAAATATGAGGATAATTGGGTCCCCCGGGTCCTACCGTAAATCACGAGGTTAACGAGAAGATACGATAAGGGGTTAAAGAGAAAAAGTAAACTCCCCCGGGTGGGGCGCTCCGGGATGCAAGGCAACTCACCCTCCAAGCCACCGCGGCCCCCGCCCCCGAGAAGACGAACTTTGCGCCTGCGTAGTGCGCGCGCGTCGCGTCGGCCTGAGGCGCTCTCGCGAGAAGAGCCGCGCAGGCCGGGAAAAATGGCGCTTCCCAGTCCCCGAGAGCCCGAGGCCCAGTCGGCCACCAGCGTGGCCAAACCCGACGGGGAAATGGTGCTACCGGGCTTCCCGGACGCGGACAGCTTCGTGAAGGTAAGTTTGCTGCGCCTCTGGGGCATCGAGAGCCGCCCGCGGTCGGCCAGAAGTAAGCCCGGGACCAGTCGGCCGCCGCTCAGCCGGCCGCACGCGCACTGCTGCGGGCCCCGGGTGGGGGTCGAGAGGCCGCCGTCCCAGCCGGGCAGTCTCTCCCTTCCCCTCCCGGGCGGCGATCGCACGCGGACCCTGAGGGACGCCCCGCTTCCCAGGCCCTCGTTCTCACAGCTGGGCCCATGCAGCCTCCGGTGTGGAAAGCCGTCTCAGCGTCGTGGGAAGGGCTGTCCCCAACCCCTCGCGACTTCGTCCCCGCCCGGGCCTGAGCCACCTAACCAACTCTCGGGAGGGGCTCGGCTGCTTTACGCCACACGAGCATCCTCTCCCGCGGCCAGGACGATCCTCCTTTCCTGTTCTGCGGTGCGGTCCTACAGAACCCCAGACCCTGGGTTTAATGTCACCTGTGGCAGCTGCCACCGACGCAGCCTCCTCTGGGTGCCTCAGAGCATCTATTATTGCCTCGGAGGAACACAGAGAGGGTTCATCTAAATTATTTGCGTAATGCTTTTTAAATATGAACGGACAAAACTAGGCTTAAACGCCTCATGCATAAGTCTTACAAAACCACAAAACTAAAATAATGTGTAAGTTAGCACGGTGTGCTCCCCCAGACTCCACTCAGCTAGGTGGGTCATCGTTAGCAGATGTCATTGTTAATTCATTTGTTTGGCTCTGATAGTTCCTGGACCAGTAGCCATGGTCCTGATTGGGTGGCCTTCATGCTATCATGTGCCCCACCTCTTTTCTCCTGCTCGCCCCCCCCCCCCCCCCCGAAACATTCCTTACGCAAGTCACAGTGGTGTCTCTTGGCCTTCTCATGACCAACCATCATTTCTTTATGACAACCACTTCAGATTTTTTCTCATTAACGCACAACAGTTAAAATAAAGAACCGCTTGGCGCTGATTGGAACATAAACAAGTACAGTTGTGGGCAGTGGTGGTTATGATGTGGTCAGCCGAAGGCCCTAGAGCATTCTTATGTTTTAGACGCTTGCCTAAATGGAAACATGAAAGGAAATTCCTATAGAAAACTCATGGACCTGAATTTGAAAAGTAGTAATAATAGCACTTAGGTGCCTTCCAAGCATTACCTTATGTGATTTTATTACCTCATTTAATCCTCACAACTCTATGGGGTCGGAACTTCTATTATGCCTGTTTTTCAGAGGAGGAAACCAAGGTCCAGATATATTAAATAATTTACCCATGATCACAGCTAATATAGCAGAGCCAAGATTCAAACCGAGACCATTTGTTTTTCCAATGTTTGTTTGTTTATTTTAACGTTTTTATTTATTATTAAGAGACAGCGGAGACAGAGCATGAGCAGCGGAGGGACAGAGAGTGGGAGACAGAATCTGAAGCAGGCTCCAGGCTCTGAGCTGTCAGCACAGAGCCCGACGCAGGGCTCGAACTCACAGACCGCGAGATCATGACTTGAGCCAAAGTCAGACCGCGAGATCATGACTTGAGCTGAAGTCGGGCGCTTAACCGACTGAGCCACCCAGGCGCCCCTAATGTTTATTTTTGAGAGAGTGAGAGCACAGAGGAGGGGCAGACAGAGAGGGGACAGAGGATCCAAAGCAGGCTCTGCGCTAACAGTAGAGCGCCTGACTCAGGGCTCAAACTCCAGAACCGTGAGATCATGACCTGATCCAAAGTCAGACATTTAACTGACTGATCTCTCTAGGTGTCCCCACACTCAGGCCATTTTGAATATTAGTCTCATATGTATTTATTCTTTCTCTCCCACTCTCCCAAGAAGGTAAGCTCTAAAACTTGGTTCCTGAGGTAAAATCAGGTTCCTCAGGGACTGAGGTGAAATCAGCACTCAGTGAGTATGTGTTGAATATGTGAAGGTGCATCATCTAGCACAACATGTCGTACATAGTAGATCTTGAGAAAAATGAGCTGCTGAATGAATGGGGATCCATGTTTAAAATTTTTTTTTAATGTTTTATTTATTTCAGAGAGAGAGACAGCATGAGTAGGGGAGGGTCAGAGAGAGGGGAAGACACAGAATCTGAAACAGGCTCCAAGCTCTGAGCTGGCTGTCAGCACAGAGCCCGATGCGAGGCTCGAACCCACGAACCGTGAGATCATGACCTGAGCCGAAGCCAGACGCTTAACCGACTGATCCACCCAGGCGCCCCAGGGATCCATGTTTAAAACATGCTTGTTGTAGGGCCACCTGGGTGGCTCAGACGGTTGAGCATCCAGCTTCAGCTCAGGTCATGATCTCACAGCTCATAGGTTCGAGCCCCACATCGGGCTCTGTACTGATCATGCAGAGCCTGGAGCCTGCTTCAGATTCTCTGTCACCCTCTCTCTCTGTCCACCCCCCCGCCCCCATGCTCTGTCCCTCTCTCTAAAAGTAAAAAAACATTAAAAAAAATAAAACATACTTGTAATAAATAAATAAATGCTCATTTTGGGGCACCTGGCTGGCTTAGGCAGTAATGCGTCTGACTCTTGATCCCGACTCAGATCATGATCTCACAGTTTGTGGGATTGAGCCCCAGATCGGGCTCTGTGCTAACAGTGTGGAGCTTGCTTGTCATATTCTCTCTCTCTCTCTCTCTCTTTCTCTGCCCCCACTGCTGCCCCCCTTCCCCACTGCTTCACAGGCGTGCACATACGCTCTCTCTCAAAATAAATGAATACACTTTTAAAAATGCTTTTTTTTCTGGTTTTTGACAGTTTGCTCTTGGCTCAGTGGTGGCAGTCACCAAGGCATCTGGGGGCCTACCACAGTTTGGCGATGAGTATGATTTCTACCGAAGTTTTCCTGGCTTCCAGGCATTTTGTGAAACACAGGGAGACAGGCTGCTTCAGTGGTGAGTCCTATATTATTTTCTTATGGTAAGAATAATGAATATAAAGAAGATAATTTTTCCTAAGAAAAGTTAGTTTTACTCTATCTTTTTTTCTGTGCTATCAAGACCTATACAATATTGGGGCGCCTGGGTGGCTCAGTCAGTTGAGCATCCAACTTTGGCTCAGGTCATGATCTCACGGTTCGTGGGTTCGAGCCCCGCGTCGGGCTCTGTGCTGACAGCTAGCTCAGAGCCTGGAGCCTGTTTCAGTCTGTGACTCCCTCTCTCTGACCCTCCCCTGCTCACGCTGTCTCTCTCTCTCTCCTTTTTTTTTTTTTTTTTTAAATGTTTTATTTACTTCTAGGAGAGAGAGACAACATGAGCAGGGGAGGGTCAGAGAGAGAGGGAGTCACAGACTGAAACAGGCTCCAGGCTCTGAGCTGGCAGTCAGCACAGAGCCCGACGCGGGGCTCGAACCCACGAACCGCGAGATCATGACCTAAGCGAAAGTCGGACGCTTAACCGACTGAGCCACCCAGGTGCCCCCCTCTCTCTCTCCTAGAAATAAAACATTTAAAAAAAAAAAAAAAAAGACCTATACAATATAAAAATGAGACAGTGGAGGCACCTGGGTGGCTTAATCGGTAGAACATGTGACTCTTGATCTTAAGAGTTATGAGTTCCAGCCCCACGTTGGATGTAGAGATTACTTAAAAAAACTAAAACCTTTGGGCGCCTGGGGGCTCAGTCAGTTAAGTGTCTGACTCTTCGTTTAGGCTCAGGTCATGATCTCACTGTTCACAAGATCAAGCACCATATTGGGTTCCACACTGACAGCATTGAGTCTGCTGGGATTCTCTCACTCCCTCTCTGACCCTCCCCTGCTCATGCACTCTCTCTCAAAATAAATAAATAAACTTTAAAAAATAAAAATAAAAAATAGGGGTGCCTCGGTGGCTCAGTCGGTTGGGTATCCGACTTTGACTCAGGTCATGATCTCATAGTTTGTGAGTTGAAGCCCCGTGTCGGGCTCTGTGCTGACAGCTCACAGCCTGGAGCCTGCTTCAGATTCTGTGTCTTCCTCTCTCTCTTCTCCTCCCCCACTTGTGCTCTGTCTCTCTATCTCTCTCTCTCAAAAATAAATGAATAAATATTTAAAAAATTATTTTAGAGGCGCTTGGGTGGCTCAGTTAAGCATGTGACTCTTGGTTTCAGCTCAAGTCATGATCTTGCAGCTCATGAGTTCAAACCTCACATCCAGCTATGCACTGAGAGTGCAGCACCTGTTTGGGATGATTCTCTCCCTATCTCTCTGCCCCTCCCCTGCTCACTCTCTCTGTCTCTCTCAAAATAAATAAACAAACTTAAAAACTTTTTTTAAATAAAATTTAAAAAAAATTTTTTTAATTTATTTCTGAGCAAGAGAGACAGCATGAGCAGGGGAGGGTCAGAGAGAGAGGGAGACACAGAACTTGAAGCAGACTCCAGGTTCCGAGCTAGCTGTCAGCACAGAGCCCAGTGCGGGGCTCAGATCCACAAACCATGAGATCATGACCTGAGCCGAAGTCGGACGCTTAACCAACTGAGCCACCCGGGTGCCCCTGAAAAAAAATTTTAATGATAAATTAAAAACAAAATATTTTTAAAAAGAGACTGGATTTTTTTTTTCATTTTATTTATTTGTCTATTGTTTTGTTTAAAGTTTATTTATTTTGAGAAAGAACGTGTGCACATGTGGAGGAGGGACATATAGCGAGAGAGAGAGAGTTTTGAGCAGCTTCCACACTGCTGTGAGCACAGAGCCTGATGTGTCTCTACAAACCGTGAGATCACAGCCTGAGCCAAAACCAAAAGTAAGATGCTTAACTGACTGAGCCACCCAGGTGCCCCAATTTTATTTACTTTATAGAGAAAGCGAGTGGGGGAGAG